GGCTGTTCAGAAAAGAGCCTCACTGTCCTCCAAGCCTCGTTCCGGCGGACTCCACGCAGCAGCCTCTGGTTCCTGCTGGTCCCCGGGTGCTCTGTCCACCAGGGAGACACAGATGGGCGGATGGGGTGGTGGGCAGATCGCCATCCTGCTCAGCACCCGTGGCCTCCACGTATTTCATCCATCCTGTGTTCTTGTCTTCTAGATTTTGCTCAACCTTTTGGCTTTCCGCTTAGCCAGCATCTTTTTTTGTTGTTGTTGGAGTCTCACTCTGTCGCCCAGACTGGAGTGCAGTGGCTGCTCCCGGCCACCACAACCTTGACCCACTGGGCTCTGGCGATCCTTCCGCCTCAGCCTTCCGAGTAGCTGGAATTACAGGCACACACTACCATGCCCGGCTGATTTTTTGATTTATTGTAGAGATGAGGTCTCGCCAAGTTGCCCAGGCGGGTCTCGAACCCGCGGGTTCAGGCAGTCCACTCATCTCAGCCTCCCAAGGTGCGGGATTACAGGCTGAGCCACCGAGCCGTTTAGCCAGCATCTTTCACTATGAACCTCAACCCTGCCCCCCAAATAAATCATCCTCTACCTCCCAGCTTTCTCTGCAGAATGTAGTCTGTTCAGTACAGCGTACCCACCTCTGCCAACCAGCAACCCTCCCCAGCCGTCTTGCTTCTCAGCCCTACCCTTGACTGGAGAGACTGGCTTATGGGATCGCGTGGCGTAGTTTCCAAGGGCAATGGCAAGCCCAGGGTGTGCTGGTGACTTACAGTGTGCTTCCTTGAGAGGATCCTGACCTCTGAGGGCTGAGGTTGGGTCTGAGTTTCTGCCTGGCATTGTCTAGCCCTCCTGGCCAGTTGGGGACACCTGGCTCTGATGACGATCAAATGCATGTTTATCTCCTTGAAACACAATGGAAGGAGTTGCTGAAATTCACCTCTGATAAAATAGTTCTTGAACCCTTGAAGTTGACTTATTTGTTTTCCATCAATATCATCTTTTGTGTTCTTCAGGTAGGAGATGGCTTGATGAGTAGGAATTATTGTAAGTTTCAAATTTTTTTATTTTTGCTTTTCATTTCTCTGAGAATGAGTTACTAACTGGATGAAAAGAGTTGTGATATCTAGTCCCCATTTTAGATGCTGAATGGATTAAATAGATAGTTTTGTTGTTGTTGTTTTGAGTCCAAGTCTCACTGTGTCCTCCAGGCTGGAGTGATACAGTTTATATGTGATGCAGTGATATGTCACCCAGGCTGGAGTGGTAGCCATGGATCACAGCTGCGGCAACCTCGACCTGCTGGACTTAGGCAATCTTTCCGCCTCAGTCTTCCAAGCAGCTGGAACTACAGGTGCATGCCACCAAGCCTGGCTAATTTTATTTATTTATTTATTTTATTTATTTTTATTTTTTGAGTTGGAGTCTCACTCTGTCGCCCAGACTAGAGTGCAGTGGCCGCTCCCGGCCACCGCAGCCTCGACCTGCTGGGCTCCGGCAATCTTTCCGCCTCAGTCTTCCAAGTAGCTGGAATTACAGGCATGCGCTACCACGCCCGGCTGATTTTTGATTTATTATAGAGATGAAGTCTCGCTGCCCAGCGGGTCTTGAACCCGCGGGCTCAGGCAATCCACTCACCTTAGCCTCCCAAAGGCGCAGGATTACAGGGCTGAGCCACTGAGCCCGGCTAATTTTGTCCTTCTTTATGGCTGTCAAGAAATTTCTTGAGATAGGCCCCTTGGTCCTGCCCCTCTCTGATCTGATCCTTCACGGAAATGAGAACTCCGTTTTCACAGTCAACTTAGTCAGTTGTAGGAATCACAGTGCCCCAGTGTCAGCCTTAGAGGTTGCCGTGTGTGTCCTTTTCCAAACGTTACAACTCATTTGTATCTTATACTGTTTATATACATGCTGTCAGGGTGTTTGGGGCATCTCAAGAGATCTCATGGTACTTTTCATCGTGGTGTCAGTTCCGTCCTGACTGGGACAGCGGGAGTCGGGCTGGTTCTGTCCCAGACCTGGCACCCTGTAACATAGCACCCCAACCCCCTCTGCCTCATCTCCTCTGGTCTGTCTGGACCAGATTATGTCAAGTCCTACAGACATTAGAATCCAGTGTCTTTTTCTCTTCATTTCTTCTGAAGGAAGGGCTAGACCAGTGCTGTCTAATACAAATGAATGTGACCTGCTTATATAATTTTAAATTTTCTAATAGACACATTCAATAACCAGGTACAATTAATTTTAATAAAGCATTTCCAGCACTTTGGGAGGGCGAAATTCCAGCACTTTGGGAGGCCGAGGTGGGAGGATTGCTTGAGCCCAGGAGTTCTAGACCAGCCTGGGCAACAGAATGAGACCATGTCGTTACAAAAAAAATAAAAAATAAAAATTAAATAATAATCAAGAATTTTCTTTAGCCCAGTAAGTCCAAAATATTATCATTTCAACATGCAGTCAATGTAGTGAGATACTTTACATCCTTTACTAGGCTAAGTCTGAAACCCAGTGCGTGTTTTATGCTCACAGAACATCTCTGTTTGGGCTAGCCGCAGTTTGAGTGCTCAGTGACTGGAGGTGGCCACCATCATGGGCAACACAGGTTTCTTGGCCACCTGGAGTCCTAGGATCTTGGCTTAGGTTTGTTGGGACCCACGCCTCTGTCCCTCTTCAGCCTTTTTGTGGATGGAATTTATAAACTAAAAGAAAATGAAAGAAATTGGATTTTTGTAATAAGCTGGTCGAAGTGGCTCACGCCTATAATCCCAGCACTTTGAGAAGCGGAGGCAGGAGGATTACCTGAGGGATTCAAGACCAGCCTAAGCAACATGGTAAGACCTTGTTTCTACAATAAATAAAAAAATCTGCCAGGTATAATGGCGCATGCCTGTAGTTCCAGCTACTTGGAAGATTGAGACTCCAACTAAAAACAAAATACAAAGCTTAACCAGTGTGGTGGCATGCACCTGTAGTCTCAGCTGTTTAGGAGGCTGAGGCTAAAGGGTCACCTGAGCCCTGCAGGTTGAGGCTGCTATGGCTGTGAGCATGCCACTGCACACCAGCCTGGGCCATAGAGTGAGATTCCGACTCAAAAAAAAAAAAAAGAAAAGAAAAGAAATTGGAATTTTTTTTTTTGAGTTGGAGTCTCACTCTGTTGCCCAGGCTGGAGTGCAGTGGCATGCTCACAGCTCAGCACAGCCTCTATCTCCTGGGCTCAGGTGATCCTTCTGCCTCAGCCTCCTAAGTAGCTGAGACTATGAGTGCATGCCACCACACTAGCTAAGTTTTGTATTTTTTTATTTTTGAGTTGGAGTCTCATGCTGTCGCCTAGGCTGAAGTGCAGTGGTACACTCATGGTCATCACAGCCTTGACCTGCTGGGGTCAGGCAATCCTTCTGCCTCGGCCTTCCAAGTAGCTGGAACTACAGGCGCACACCACCACGCCTGGCTAATTTTTTTTTTTTTGAGTTGGAGTCTCACTCTGTCAC